GGACTCTGACTATACATGACCTAACTATATTCTAATATTGCAAATACTACCATAAATGGGTGAAATTGCTCTTCTGATAACTGTCCTTTGCTTTTAGACTTCTGAGTTCCATAGATTAAAAAAAAAAAAGTCTTCTTTTTTTCATAAAGACTCAGTATCATTTCTACACCAGAAGTATTCTTCGTTTTTTTTTTTTTCCACTAAAGATACTATAAGAAAAATACTATAAGAAGATAGAAGGGGTTTCTGCTTTAAAGATATGTGGTTAATATTCCTAAGATGCTAAAATAAAATATGGTTTCAAACTGGATCTTGACCTTCCCCTATTTGTTAGCATGTTTTTGTTTTTGTTTTTTTGGTTGCAGTATTCACTGAACTTATGTAATGGGTACAATAGGCTATGGATTACTAAATGTCAACAGAAACCCCTAAAAGCTGAATATAGTGATTCCACACATGTAATCTCAGTACTTGAGAGGATGAGGAGGGAGTCTGAGTTTGAGGCCAATCTGGACTGTGTAGCAAGACTTCAAATCCAGAGGACTGTCCTCCACTCCCACTCACTTCCTTAATTAATTCAGAGGTTTACTTTCTTTTGGTAGCTTTCTAGAAGTAGGCAGTACTGCCACGTACTGTAGTAAGTAATTTAGATGTGGGTCCAGAGAAGTTGCCTGTCTTAACACCTGAGGAAAAAGGAGGCATGTGGTCAGGGACACAAATGGGGAGTTGCTGTTGATACATGGTGCTAACAACTATCTTTTCATACTCCATTGTCAGCTTGATTAGCTGTGAGGGAAGAGAAACAGCACACAGGTGTGTGGGCTTGTGGAGAAACGATTGGACAAAAACAAAAGGCTTGGTTACCTGCTAGCTGTTGCACCTTAGGAGACAGCTTCATGTAGGAGAAATAGCTTCTGTTTCAGAAAGGGGCTCACACCTGAGGTAAATGGACCTGGGGTAAATGGTTCCAGGCCCTAGTGGAGTCAGTTCCTCCAGTGACAGCTTTAATTCTAAGTACCTTTGCTTTGCAGTTTTATAGATGAAGAAACTGAAACACTTCCGTAATTGCTCAGTGTAACATTTGTGGAGCTAGAATTTTCACAGACACTTGTGGCCTCCCAGCTCTTTATAAATCCCTGACTCCTGATTATTACAGAAGTTTGTGTGGACACGTGTCTGCTTGAGTGATCATTTTGAAACAAGATTTCACTATACAATTCTGATTTGAAACAATTCATTTGTGTAGACCAGGCTGCTAAGCCTCTGCCTCATGTGTTGAGATCAAAGGCATGCACTACTGTGCCTTGCTGTTATAGGTTGTTTTTGTTTTTGTTTTTTTGTCTTGTTGCCTCACTGTAGACCTCAGCCTTGTAACCCAGGCTGGCACTTGAATTCTCATCTTTCTGCCTCAGCCTCCCAACTACTTGTATTAGGACAATAGTTGTGTCAGCATGCTTGATTGCTGCTTTAAGAAATGGAAAAGTAGCTGGGTGGTGGTAGTGCACACCTTTGAACCCAGCACTCAGGCAGAGGCAGACGGATCTGAGTTCTAGGCCACTCTGGTCTACAGAGTAAGTTCAGGGCAGCAAAGGCTACACAAAGAAACCCTGTCTGGGGGTGGAGGCGGGTGGGTGGAGAAATTGAAAGCTAACTGGTTAAATAAAGCATATCAGGTTATGTGTGCTGCTAAATACATCATTACTATTCTCTGAATAGTAAAGGACAGCATAATTGAAGTTCTTTGTCTTTTAACGAGTATGCAACTAATAAGACTATGATTGGGGCTGGAGAGATGGATCAACAGTTAAGAGTACATCTTGCAGAGGACCCATGTTCAGTTCCTAAGCACCCACCCATGTTTGGTAGTCCACAACTGCATGTAACCCTAGCTCCAGGTGGTTGTAGCCCTCTTGGCTTCCAAATGCACTGCACTAACATGCACAAACATGTACTTTTAAAAAAAATTCAGAGGTTGAAGGAGAAGACAAATACAACAATAGCAAGTTTTGAAAGTTTGGACAATTCTGTGAGACTTTTTTGTGTCGCTGTGGACATATACTACTTTTTTTTTTATATTTATATTTATGTAAGTGCATCTGATGCCTTCAGAGGACAAGACTGGATTCCCCTTTAACTGGATTACAGAGGGTTGTGTGGTGGCATCTGAACCCAGATCCTGTGCAAGAGCAGCAAACATTGTTAGCTGTCGAGCCATCTGTCCACCCTCAAATTGTCAGTTTAAGCAAACCGAAGCCACATGCTAGAGCTTTTGCCTACCATGCCTTAGCCACTTGATTTCAAATCTAGCGGTGGGCTTAGTGATGGGTGTTGGAGGTGCCTGCATGAAGAAATGAATGTTCAAGTTGACCTTATCCCTTAGCTGTGGCCATCAGCTTATCTTGGAGGGGTGGTTTTATTGTGACATGGTTTTTGTAGTTTAGACTGGCGTACACCCACTCCATGGTACTGGGATAACAGGCGAAGGTTACTAGGATATGTTTTGGGGCGGGGGCGGTTGTAGGTTTTTTTGGGGTTTTGAGACCCAGAATGATCTCAAGCTCTAGGCAGCCAGGTAGCTGAAGGTGACTCAACTGATTCTTTTAACAATATATGTGCATGTCTTAGTGAGTGCGTGTAGGAGCCCGTGGAAGTCAGATCCCCTGGAGCTGGAGTTAAGAGTTGCTTGCTTCCATGTGGGTGCTGGGAAATAATCACGGTTCCTCTGCAAGAGCAGTAGAATTTAGGTTTCCCTCCAGTCCCTTGATCCTCCTTTTTCCACTTCCTGAATGCTGGAAATACAGGTGTTTGTGGAGTGCTAGGGATCATGCTAAGCAAGCACTCTTACAACTGAGCTACGTCCTCAGCCTGCCAACGTGTGTTTTGTAAGGGAATTCCTTTACAAAAGGAGAGGTGCAGAGGTCATTAGGAGTTTTTATGTCCCCCGTTTTATGTCAATAGGCATGACTAACCAAGCTAGCTTGCTAACAGCCAGGAGCCCGCCCTGGCGGCGCTTTGAGCGCGGATCATCTAAGTACTCCAGGCATCGCCCCGCCCCTTGCTCTCTCCGGACCAATCGGTGTTCAGGGGCTGTTCTCCCGGCCGACAGAGGGCAGCTTGTAACCCGGAAGTGGTTGTTCTGGTGGAGGCGGGCGGGTCTGAGAGGTGGGGCTTGAGACGCTCCTTTCAGGAGCCCACACTGCGGCGTCTGAGGGGGAAAGTGTGGCATTATGGCCTCTGTGCTGTCCTACGAAAGCCTGGTACACGCCGTGGCCGGAGCCGTGGTGAGGAGGGGTTTGGGGCTTTTCGAAGTCAGCCCCGGGATGGGGCCGGGAGATGGGCACCAGGGGGGTGTGGGGCTGAGTCTGTCACGACGGGGAAAGTTGCTGCAAGAGTGAGGGTGAGGCCAGCGCCCACCCGCCCGCCTGCCCCTGCCCGTGCCGCGCTCTCCCAGAGCCCGTCGGGACTTGCTGTCCTACGAAAGCCTGGTACACGCCGTGGCCGGAGCCGTGGTGAGGAGGGGTTTGGGGCTCTTCGAAGTCAGCCCCGGGATGGGGCCGGGAGATGGGCACCAGGGGGGTGTGGGGCTGAGTCTGTCACGACGGGGAAAGTTGCTGCAAGAGTGAGGATGAGGCCAGCGCCCACCCGCCCGCCTGCCCCTGCCCGTGCCGCGCTCTCCCAGAGCCCGTCGGGACTGGCGGTCACAAAGGTCCAGAGTTGCTATTTTCTTCACCTTGTAACGTTTAAGGGCAGCCATCCCCATGCTTCACACCAAACTCCGACTCACTGGTCCGGAGGAGGAACTAGTAAGGCTGCTGGCAGCCAGTTGTCACACCTTACCACAGGCAAGTGGCAACAGCCAGTAGAATACCTCTGATCAGCGTTATTGCCAGGAAACGGCAGGGTGTTTTTGTTTTTTAAAATCAGGATCGGTGTTGTTATCCACTCCACGTATAGTTACTGTGAGTTAAGTGCTCGGATCTTGGACGTAGAGGCGTCGGAGTTCCTTCCCTCGACACCCTTCCCTTCCCCTTGCAACTCTACAGTCTTGGCACGAGTAACGTTCCTCTTTGCTTCTTTTCCTCGGACTCTTTCTCATGTCCTCCCCTAACTTCTAACCAGCATGTTCCTTTAGCCTTTTTAGAATTACTCTGGACCATTACTGTCTGTTCGGTGGACCATTACTGAATGCTCCTCCTCCCCCAATATTAATGCAGGGACCGCTCATGTTCTGTAAAGAGGAATCTGAGTTTTCAAATTCCAGTTCTATTATTTATTTACTAGGTGATCCCAAGTCTCACCTTTGTAACCTGTAAAGCAGAAGAAATGATAGTTTTCTCCTAGACGCTTGAGAATCAGGTGAGGGGATATTACATGAAGTGTCCTTTTCAAGAAGCCCTCATTCATTTAAATCAACCAGAAGAGCCTTTCACCCACTGTGAAAGACCCACGATGGAAGTTTTCTTGATGTGTTTTCAGTTTTCAGTTGGTCACAGAGACCTGTGTGACTGGAGTGGAAACGCAAATGGCCACCAAATTATTCATGACTCTGTGTAGGAAAGAGCAGCCGTTGAACTTACTGATTTACACGCCAAACCTGATCTTCTGGGCTGCTTTCTCTGTGGAAGTAGAATAAGGAAGGCACAGTAGGCAGGCAAGAAGTGGCTGTAAGGCTTAGATGAGGTTGTGGAAGTGGTAAGTGATTGTTCTCTTGAAATGTATTTATAAGAGCCACCATAGTTTAGTGAGAGATATCATGTAGATTAGGGTTGGTTGTCTGACAGATTTTTGGCTGAAGGAACATGGTCTTCCTCCCGAGTGAGCTGACAATGGTGAAGGCATGGGTTTGGGGGGAAAGATAAACTTGGTTCTAGTTTTGAGCTAGTTAAATTTGAAGTCCCTGAGAGTAGCATGACATTAAATAATTAACTCACCAAGGAAGTGAACATGGACTGAGTGGAAAAGCAGGCGACATTAAAAGTTCGGGGAAGTAAGGTTTCGGGCACAGAGAAGACTTGAGAACTGGTGGGGTGGGAGGAAACTGGAAACGCACCCTGCCAGCTGTTCGGAGAAAGTATTTCAGGAAGAAGGGTGTTGTCCCAGTGGGTCATCTGCTGCCAGGCCTCAAGTAAGGTGAGGATAGTGAACTAATTACTGGGCTGACCAAAATAATAAATACAGTGGTTAATCGAGAAGACCAGTTTTGGTGGATTGGTGGGCAAGATGGAATGTAACAGAAAATAGGAAGAAGAGAAATCCTTGTTACTTTTTCTTTCTCTTATCCAATGCCATTTATTGAGTTTGCTCCGTGGGCCGTATGGTCTTCTAGGTTCTAAGAATATAAAAAACAAAGTCACTTGCTTCATTAACCGTTGGTTCCAGTAGAGAAGCCAGAAAACGAATAAACAAAATGATTTTAAATAGTGAGTGCTATTAAATAAGTAGGGCTACTAAGCATTTGTTTATAGAGGGCGACAGATATTTTATGTATTATGTACGGTCTCTGTTGTAGCTGCTCAGCACAGCCATAGTGGTGTGAAAGCAGCCACAGACCATAAGTAAATGGATGGGCAGAGCTCTGTTTCCCATAAAACTGTTGTCACAGAAACAGACAGTACATTGGTTTTGGCCCACGGACCAGTTTTCTGAGCCCTGTGATAAAGCATGACCATGGCAGGGGTGATATATATCTATTAATCTACACAAAACATTTTCATTGATTTATTTCCTATTTTTCTTTCATTAAAATTTCACTTGAAGCCAGGCGGTGGTGTCATATACCTTTAATCCCAGCACAGGGATTAAGGCAGGCGAATCTCTTGAGTTCGAGGCCAACCTGGTCTACAGAGCAAGTTCTAGAACAGCCAGGGCTACACAGAGAAACTCTGTCACAAGAAAAGAAAAATAAAATTTCAGTTGAAATTATGCACTCTGATTTTGCTGGCTTTTCCCCCCAAGTTAACTATTATATGCTTTTATAAGAAAATTCATTTTATTACTCTTGCTTTCTATCAGGAAAGTAGTATTTCTAGTACATATATAAATGAGAAGTAGCTCTGTATGTTGTTTTGGTTATTTTGAAACAGGGTCTCACTGTGTAGCCCAGTGTAGCCCAGAATAGCCTCAAACTTATAAACTTTTTAGACTCAGCCTCCTAAATCCTTGAAATTAAAGGCATGTGCCACTGTATCCAGCTGCTCCGGGGTGTGTGTGTGTGTGTGTGTGTGTGTGTAGCCCAGGCTGGACTTGAACTTGTGAATCTCCTATCCCTTTCTTTCTGTTCAGGTATCCTCCCAGTGTGTGCTACCACAACCAGCGGTGTTTTGTTGCTGCTGTGGTGATGATGATGATGATGATGATGATGATGATTACTATTCAACTGTCATGCCAAAGAGTTGTTTTAAAATTCTTAGTAGGGGCTGGGTGGCGGTGGGACACGCCTTTAATCCCAGCATTCGGGAGCCAAAACTCTCTCTGAGTTTTAGGCCAGCCTGGTCTACATAGCGAGATCCAGGATAGGCACCAAAATTACACAGAGAAACCCTATCTCGAGAAACAAAAAGCAAACAAACAAACAAAAATTCTTAGCAGGTCTGTATATTAAAGTTAAATAACATAACCTAGGCTGTCATATTTTGGTTATCATCAGATTATTTTTGAAAGATTTCATATGTAAAAATGTGTCTCTTTCTTTTTTTTAAGCTGGCTTTGACCTTGCTGTGTAACCAAAGATAATCTTGAACTTCTGATCTTCTTGTTTCCAGCTCCTAAATTTTAAGATTAGAGCATTAGGTTTTTGGATTGAATCCAGGCTTCCAAACTAATAGGTTTTCTGCACCTCCACCCCATAATTGTTTTCTCTGCCAACGTAGTAAGTCAGATCAAGCCAAATTGAAAAAGTATAACAAGTTTATTTGAGCAAAGCAACTCCTGGGTGAGTTCTCCAGTCTCAGAGATCAAGACCAGAGAATTCTTGTCCCCAAACTAAAGCAGGGAGACTTTATAGGTTGTAGGTGAGGGGTGATGACGTGTCCCCCACAAGCTGGGCTTGTGCCCAAGTATGGTGCTTTAGGCCGGGACTTGAGTGGCTGGCAACTTCAGGGGAGGAAGCTGCAGTAGCCACCACGAGTGTGGAACTGGGCTTTTTGGTGCCTGCCTTTGTTTAGAGACTCTGCCTGGGTTAGGTTTGGAGAGAGGGAAACAGGAATGGAGCTTTCCGGATCATGCAAGGGCAAGTTGGATGTTCTAACCGAACACAAAGATGCTTGGCAAGCTCTACCAACTTAGTTACATCCCTCACCCAGAAATACCTATTTACAAGCAAAAGATTTCTGTAGTCTAGAATTTGAAAAGCGCTGTTTGTAGGACTTACATGGGGTAGATTGCACACTGAAACAGGGTTCAGAATTGTCATGATTAATCAGTAATATCAAAATTTTTATTTATTAGTCGGTTTGTTGGAATTTGTGTGGAGATGAGAGGACAACTGTGGGAGTCAGTTTTCTCTTTCACTGCATGGTTCCAGGCATGAACTCAGGTCTTCAGGCTTGTTCCACAAGAGGTTTTATCCTTGCTGTCTCAGCTCTCTGGCCTGATTGATCAGTAACTTTAAGGAAACATCTTTTGTACCAACGGCTTATTTAAATCATTTTGATTTATTTTTTTGTTTGCCTTGTTTATCTAGCAGGGCAGTCTCTTTATATTGGTTAGGCTGGCCTTCACCTTCTGGGTTCAGGACACCCTGCATCCTTCAGTAGCTGAGGTTGTTAGAGAATCTCCAATGTTATGCAGAGGAGTTTGGGTTACAGTTGGTCAGATAAAATGTTTGTTGAAATGTAGCTACATCATTGGCCTCTGTTCTCTGTGTGTTTATATACAAATGAGGTGGACTTTTGTTGTTATTATTTATATAACTATTAGTAGAGTTTCATATCCTGGGATTTTTCTGTTTGCTTGTTATGAGTGTGTTTGTTTTGGAATATAGAGTATCCATGTGACTCAGTTAGGGCTCCCTGGTTACAGGGTGGAGAAACAGACTGGGTATTTTAAGCATTAAGGTGAGTTTTCTTTAAAGGCTATTTGAGACCTGCTCTGTCAATGGGAAGCTGAAAAACTTGGAGCAGAAAGGAGCCAAGTGGCTCCAGATGATTTCTGAAATAGTCACTGGAAAGTCTGTCAGACACTACCACTGACATCAGAAGCTTTGTCCTGCCTGTCTCCCCTAACCAGATTCTACTTCAGAGTCAAAGTCCTGCAGAGTTCCTGCTAACAGAACTCAATGCCT